TAGTATACTCAAGCCAGAACCCACACTTGCTCAACTTTGCATACAGCTTCTTCTCTCTAAGAACCTGTAAAACCTGAGTCAGATGGTGAGTATGTTCATATCTAGTTTTTGAATAAACCAAGATATCATCAATGAACACAATGACAGACTAATATAAGAATTTTTCTGAAAACCCTGTTCATCAAGTCCATCAAGATGGTTGAAGCATTGGTTAGTCCAAATGACATGACCTAGATCTGCATTCAGATTATTGAGAGGGGGTACTTGTTCTTGATTGTGACCCTGTTCAGGTCTCTGTAGTCTATACATAACCTTAATGTCTCATCTCTTTTTTTTACAAATGTGACTCTGACACCCCAAAGAGACACAATATGTCGGATGAATCCACTGTCCTACAATTTAATGATCTGTTTCTTCAGTTCCTCAATCTCAACACAACTCATGCGGGAAAGAGCAACCAAAATAAGCTGGGTGTCTGGCTGAAGGTCTATGGTGAATTCGACTTCTCTGTCCACTAGTAGTCCAGGTAGTTCATTCGGGAATACATCTAGAAAGTCTCGAACAACTGGAATCTCTTGAATACAAATTTTTTTCTTTGGTTTGTCTAGTTAGAGAAAACAGTCAGGTTATAGTATTTAATAATAAGAGAATTTGTAATGAGGGAAACAAATGTTAAAGAATTTTATTAATTTGTAAAAGACTTCTCATTAGGAAGGTTAAATATAACCTTATTGCTAAAACAATCTATGGTGGCGTGATATGTCGCTAGCCAGTTCATTCTTAATATTACATCAAAGTCTTCCGTGTCAATCTCTATTAAGTCCGAACTCAATTTCTTATCTACTATGTCTATGACATAAGTTCTGTATATAACTGTCTCCAGTAGTGTCCTACTCTCAAGAGCATATACAAATAACACAGAATCAAAATTTTCAGGTAATACATTTAATTTTGATGCAAAAATATATGAAATAAATGAATGCGATGCACTAGTATCAATCAAAATATGAGCAGGATGGTTACAGATAGTGTATATACTCTGTACCACGTCCGGGTCGGTTTTTGCATCCTGTTGAGTGAGGTTGTAAGCCCTGCACTAAATAGGAGGTCTGGCCTAATTTTGGTTCATCGGGCACTCCCTTGCATAATGTTAGGCACTACTGCATATGCAGTAGGTGTTGTTGAGACGATAACAGGGTTGGTCCCCATGATCCTTGTCACAATGCTGATAGGTCTTACCGTGCCCTACTGTTGGAACCTGAGGAGGAGCCTGAGTCATCGGCCTGGGTCTCTTATTCTGTTGAACAGTGCAGTATGTACTAGTCTACAGTGTGGAGCCGAGGGCCTAAGGTTCCCTACTGCTTGAGGGAAGGTGCGAAGGTTCCTCTCCACCAACTGTGAC